CAGTGAACATTGTAATCTGAGTAACCTGACTGGGGCTTGGCTACCCAAATCCCAGCCAGTCTGTGTTCAGTATGGGACTAGTTTCATTAGGTAAAAGACCCACATGCCAGGAATGATGAAAGTATTCCCTTCCCTAGTAAGGACGACTGGTAAGTATTCTGGGAAAGAATCCTTCTATTTTAAGTATCTAACTACACGTGCCAAAATAGGTCTCAGCTGTAAATTGGAATGCTTTCAAACATTTTTCTTTCACTGTGCTCAGGCTATGAGGTGTCTCTGTTTTTCTAGGGCTTGTTCAAAGAGCCTTAAAATTGATTGACTAGGCTGCTGTGAGCCTGCTCTTTTCCTGTAGAGCTTTAGGATATATGTAGGAGAGAAGCTGCTTGGCAAGAGGTGAACATGTTGAGAGATATTTGCAGCAGTGAAAACTACCTCATCCTTTTATTTCCTTTTTCTCTCAGTTTTGCAGGAGTACCCGGAGGAGAAGGGTGGTGTGTTCTTTCTTCTCTGCAGCATAAAGTATAGTGAACCAAATCTTTCTTGTTGAGACAAGCAACTATGGAGCTGCTCCTTAACTTTTTCACTGATCGCTTAATGTCAAGGAGAGCAACCATGTTGGAAGAGGGGTCACCCCCTGCTTGCATTAGGTGTTTTTGTTCAGCCCAGTGAAACTCACTGAGTCTGTGGGACTGTGCCTGTAGCAGCGGGGCTGAGTAAGGTTTGCACCATGCAGTCATGGCTTGGCAGGATGGGGATGCTTTTAGAAGGCAAAATTCATTATTCCTGGTCTTTGGACAAGGTATTGATTCATCTGCCAGCAGGTTGTATGAAAAAGCTTTGTGGAGGAAATGCAACTATGTTTTCTGTTCTTTATAACAGTTCCTTTTGTAAAAGCAACCCTTAAGTATAAGGGAAATCATAAAGAATAAATAGTAAAAAGAGAGACTGTTGGTCACAGCGACTATATAGTTAGATATGATGGAGACAATGATTTTCTGTCAGCAGTTTTTTCTGTTTCTCAAGTTTTTAACACATAAACATTATGTTTAATTCATATGACCTGCTATTATTGAAGTGAGATTGTATCTAAAACTTTAAAACCCATGTATGAGTGACTATGTTTCTTTAAAAAAAAATTGGGATGTCCTAAATACTTCAGAATTTTTATGCATCTACTTGCTTTTTATTCAGTGTTCCCTCACCTTCAGTTGTTTCTTGTGCAGAGGTAATGTGAAAATGGGTACCTTAAAAGTAAATAAATAGATAACATGAGTAGGTAAGAAACAAAACTGTCCAGGTAATTTGGTGTATCCTGCAGTCTTTGTCAGTCCAAATATGTTGTTCACTCCTGACGGCTGTTTCAGCTGCATATTTACATATCCCGTCAGCTGATTGCTATTCCAGAACACCCGAAAATCAGATGTTTCCATAGTTAATGGGAAAATAAAGTCCCAGTGAGCCCCAGATGTAGGAAAGAGAGTGTATTACCTCCTAAGCACCCTCCCTGCCCAAACCTTTAGGATCCTGTGATTTCACTAATGTATGATACCCCCTCCAGACCACTTGCCTCTCTGAAAGCCCCTGTTCTCCCTGGAGCAGCTGAGGTTGCGTCCTGCTCTCCACTGCAAAAGCCTTTTTTCAGCAGTGTCCCTTCACAGCAAGTATCTCCAAAACCTTAAAATGTAAAGTGTATGCGTCCAGTTTGTCTCCAGCAGCCATTTTATGTGAGGACAGTCATTCTCCTTAAAAATGCTCTGGGATGGTTCACAGGCAGGTATTACCTCTTTTTCCCCCCTGGGCAGTAAGCTCCTGGCAGAGGCTGCTGTCATGTATGCCAGTGCTGTGGGATACACAGCTGACAGATCAGCATCGCCGGCACTGCCAGTTGCCTTTTGCAGCTGATACAGTGTGTTGTTACCTGCTGCTACACTGTGCACTAATATTTTATCAAGACAATTTGATACCAGGTTTGGGGTGGTTCTGCAGCCTGGGAGGTTCAAAAAAAAAAGTGCCTGGATGTATTGAAAACATCGTAGACACTTCTTTAAAAGTACAGATAGGTGGAGCTCATATTGCTGTAAATAATTTAATGCCCCAATTTTCTCTGCTGCTGCAGGCTGGGAAGGAGAAGGGCAGCGCAGTCTTACGGAGCTATGGCATCCTGGTCTTGGTGGCTCGTATGGTTTAGATGCACTCATGGCTTGCCTGAAATCAAGTGTTGGGGACATTAGTTGCCCTCAGATTCAGTGTTCCTTCAGTCTGATTAGGAAAAGTTCCATGAATAAGTTATTGCAAAACCAGGTTGACCCATTCAAGCATGCAGATGTTTTATTTAAATATTCCTCAAATGTCTATTTATTCAGCATAATGCATGTATTATGCTGCCTTCTGAAATACGATATATGACTGTCAAACAAAATTGCCAAAACAACAACCTCAGTTTCTTTGTATGATACACAGAAATAATTACATTTCATGTACAGTACAGATGCATTTTACACAGTCATCAACAGTCATTCACTACCAAAACAGCATTTAAATCACCTAAAACACCAAAAGAATGTGTATTTTCTGAATTCAGAATAAATTAATGATTTTGCAAGTGACATATGGAAATAGGAGACAGGACTGGAATTCTGCAAAATCATACTAAATTATTCCTTAAGCCACGTTTTCAAAATGAAAGTACAAGTTGCTTCAGGGGTGTAACTGCTGTGCAAGTGTATTGCTGTAGTGTGTTCTTTTTCATTCATATGAAAAGGAGAATAAAGAGATTTTAAAAGACACATGACCTGATGATGTCAGTAGGTTACCTGGGTTGTATGTAGTCTGCCCCAAAATGGGTTTTGTAACTGCCTTTTGGATTATTTACCTGATATAACTAGTCAAGAAGTACCATGTGGCATGAAAAAGTTGTTGTTGCAGATTGCTAATTATCAAAACAGTTTTTATATCAAGAACTGTTTGCCAAAAGGTGAGGACCAAGCCATTTTTTGTATGAGTAAACATGGGAAGAAGTTGGATGTAAGTAAAAACTCTGGGTCCATTCTGCCTCTCTCTTAAACCTTGTTAAAATTTAGGCGACCCACCAGCTTCAGCAGATCTACTGCAATTTTCCAAGAGGGTAAAAGAGAAGAGGGCAACATCAGGTGATTGACCTCAGCAGAGTTCTTCACAGCAGTGCTCCTCTTGGTCAGAGGACAGCCTGTGCTTCTGCTCTCTGCTAAGGTTTGAAAAATGCAGCAGCTCAGTTTACAATGAGGAAGTTAATTCTGATTTGCAGAAAAAGTGGGAAGTTAATTACAAATTAACCAACCTTCTGAATTAGTAAATGATAAAAGAGTCATGCATGACATTATGTACTCCTTTTGACTGCTGTTGAATTCTAATATGTGATGTTGTATTTCGGTGTATATACTGTAGCATAGTAGTCCATCATCTACTCTTCAATCTCTGTTGACTGGTAGAGAGAAAGACCAGTATTTGTGTGCAGTAAAAACTGTATCATCAGCAAGTTTCAGTTTTTAGTGGGTGTTTTCTCTTGATGAAAATTTTCATGTCAGTAGAATGCTAGCAAATACTGTACTGAAACATACACTACTCAAACTATTAAATAACTGTGTTAATCATTTATCGTAATGACAGCTAATGCACTGAGCCTTTTGATTTATATGCATATTTTATTTTGCAGACATGCAATTATTTCTGATCCAGTGTTTTTGATGTATATATGTATGCATTGATATGCACGTATGCCATGTATATTTGATGTATATGTTGTATGGTATGTCGTGTATATAGGAAGCATTATGATACATCTCCTAATGCACTTTCTTGAAGAAAAATGACATGTTTTTCTCAGAAAGGTTTCTGGTAACATAAGTATCTTTTAAAAATTAAGCCGAAAAGCCTTAACAGTAAGAGCTTTCATATTAGCTTTTAGGCCTGCCCATGTGGGTAAATTCCAATTGAAATAAATTATCTTTTTATAGCTTTGGGACCCAATCCGTTATTCTACCAGTGTTCTTAGGTAATTAAATAACTTCACACAATATAAATTCTGAAACAAATTTTAGGATGCAGGTTTACAGATAATTACAAAAAGAATTTAGCTGTCTTTTTTACTGAATGTTTTTCGGTGTCTTCCAGCGTAGTCAATACTCTGTATGCTGCAGAACGTCAACATGGAAGGTTTGCAGATAAGTGTTAACTGATCCCAGAAACACCTTTTTTGTAATTTTAATTCAAATAGGATTGATCCTGCAAAAGTACACTGAGATCAGAGGTTTGTTCTGAAAATACAGAAGCAGATGCCTACAGAAGAAAGGACTGTGCTGATTTATCAGTAGCCTTGAAATCCCAAGTAGTACGGTAATGTTAGAGTGGACAACAAACTCGCAGAAATAGAGGACAGTGGACAAAAAGAACAATGACTGAATAACACACTTGTGGTGCATGGTTTGGCTGTAAGATTATTTAAATGTTTGCCATTAGAAGTTTATAGTGCAGATGAGTTGTGTGAAATACCTTAAAAAAAAGAAATCCTGATTCCTGATACAACAGGTGTACAATGACTTATTGCAGTTGTAACAGTACCTAGGAAGCAAGATAAAACAATAGTAAATACTGAACTAACTGAACACCTTTAGTTCACTAATGAGTGTTTGAATAAGAAATACTGCATTTTTCAAAGGGAAGTTATTTGTACAACTACCATGGAACATTAACAATCAGCTTGTTGTAAGTGCACGGAAATGCCCCTTTCTACAGTAATATTTTATCATGCCTAATCTGAAAAACAACAAAAGTAAACTGAGATCACAGCTCCAAATAATTTCAGCATGCATCGTGGTTGTAGTTCTTTCAGTCAGTACAAACATATTTCATATGAGCATTTTTTTCTTTCATTTTTTGATAGTTTCTCTACAAGTTTGTGGTTTATTAACAGGAAAAAAGACACATTATCAAAATGTTTCTTGTTTTGCATTCAGCAGAAAATCTTTCTGGTTTTTGTTTTGCGTTTTTTTCTTTTTTCTAAAAAGAGCTTTCATGGTAAGAAGAAGCATCAATGGGGACATTTCATTGTGCTCATAGAGTAAGTCAGGATGGTCACAGAAGATTCCACTGCATGTCAGTTCCGACAAGGGGTAAGAAACTCCTTTTGGTTCACATGCTACAACACCGAAACCCACAAAGTGTTTTTGTTCCTCCTGAACCTCTTGCTCTGTGGCTGCTGGCGCACACGTCAAGGGGCGTTGGTTTTGTCAGCTCTCTCATTCCTCGCAACTCATTTCTCACTGCTTGAACTCAGCTTGCAAGTGGTCTTTATGCTAATTTATAAATAATTCCTTATTTTATAAAGCAGATACTCTGACAATGTTTCCTCCCGAATACTCGGGAGACTCTGGCCTATCATCTCCTTCGGGTGTGGTGACTGGCGGTGTCGGGATGCTGATTATTGCTGTAGTGACGTAAGGCTGCTCACAGTTTAGTTTAACGCACTCTTCCACTTTGGCATTTAAGCTGGAACGGCTGGAGGAAGAAACAAAAATCCATGAAGAAAGAAAGTCCATGTTACTGCAAACCTCTTGTGTGCCCAGTTCCAGTCCCTGAGCCGGCCATCTCCATCCTGCCCTGCTGGAGAGCTCAGAGGTGCCAAGTGGCAGCACCCACCACCCTGCACCCCAGGAGCAGCTGGTCCATGGCTATGTCCGTGCCCAGGCCCCCTTTCTCCCTTCCCACCATTTCAGCACTTCTGAAAGTTTCTCAGCACATTACCCAAGAGTTTCTGAGCAGGGGAAGCATTCGAGCTGCTCCCTGGAGAACAAATTTAGCACAGACAAGTGACTTGCCATGCAGGAAAGTAAAAACTAAGGGGTAGTCTCAGTCTCCTACTTACTCCTCCGTGCCATGTGTATTCAAGAACACTTTGTGTCTTGTGTATCCTCAATAGTAAGACTAGGTGACATTGGCACTAAATAAGGTTAATATGTTCATGGAGTTGCTGCGGTACCTCAGCATCATACAAAACTTTTAAGTCTTGAGGTGAGACTGGCATTTTGTGCTTATGTTTTTAGCTTGTTCTTTAGCACAAAGCTGGTGCTCTGTGTGTTCATGTACTCTGTGAGTGGAAGTATGGTGCAGGCAAGTCCTCTAGCAGAGAAACGATGGGCCCAGGCAAAATATTTCCTGAAAAGCTAAGACAGATTGGAGCTTTGTGCTGGTCAGGAGGTCTCACTGCACAACAGCTGAAAAAATTCAGTAGCTACAAGCTTCTGGGTTGTTCGCGGAAATTAAATACAAACTTAGTAACTATACAAAGCAAGCTCCTCAAAATGTAACTAAGCAAGACAATCTCTATAGCAACTAGTGCTGAAAATGCTTCTTTTCTAAATGGCGGCATGTTTGAGTTCACTAGAAAACACTTCTGGGTCTCCTGAGACCTTTCCTATGTTTTCAGAGGTGGTATTTGGATATACCTGAAAGTCAAAGGGTTTTCTTGTGAGAGTACAGAGATGTTCAGTAAATTATAGACTTAAACTGCACTTGCCTCAGTTTTTCAATAACTCCTCAAACTAGAAAATGTGTTTTTTCTTATGCATTTCATATTTTTTATTTAGAAGAGTCTTATAACAATTGCACTTGGGACTCTGGGAATCAGTTTGATTTCTCTGCTCTGTGGAAATGTGAGGAAGTCTCATTCATCCTATGCTTCTGAACCAAACCATTAGAAACAGCAGGGACAGAACCTTCTGTCTCTTCCCACTTGTGCTATCTGAATTGCACATTTTTTAAATTTTTTCTTGTTATGTGGTTGTCCATGGCATATAATAGTTGGTGCTCAATTTAATTTGGGGTCCCTGAATTTTATTCCCTGCAAATAGTACACAGTAGTTTGTGGGGAGGGCCTGAGAGGGCAGAAATGGATATAGAGAGACTATTCTGTTATCTTGGATTATGCTTGGAGCAAAATATATGCAGGATGTTTCAGTACTAGTGCCCATTTTTGGATGACTATTTGACTTTCATCTTTAACCTCCGAGCCTACCTGCAGGGGCCACAACAGCTCTACATCTCTTCTCTAATGCAAAAAGGGGCTTCAGCTCTCGGCATGCTGGTGTTACCAGCATGTACCTGTTAGACAGAGGCGTCCTCTCCACACATCTGATTTGGATGGTGCTGAGCTCTTGTACGCTGCCTGGACGGCTGCCAGTGATGGTGGTGTTCGGGATGCGGTAAGTCTTTTTATGTCTTCGTGAGCAGCAAGTGCTGGTAACACCTTGTTGAGACGAGAGAGAGGGGCTGTGGCTTGGAGGTCTATTGACTGTGGAAACCTCCATACAGCTCTCTTCATAGACTTGCTCATCCACAAACTCGTGATTCTAGCCCAGAGGAATCCAACAAAGGGACAAAGCACACACAGGAAGAAAATTAAAGTGAACATATTAATAATGGTTGTTTAAAGGCTTAAATTGACACACTTGAATAAACTGGGAAAGTTAGCCAGCTTATTCTTGATTATAGAGTTTAGCCCATATTACCCTGGCTGAATACCAATACAAATGTAAACACTAGATCAAAATGTTTAGAGGCCTAAATAAGAAAAAAGTTAATCCAAATTGTTTTGTAAACTAGCACATCATTGTAATGTAGTTTGCATTATAAATATCTGTATAATCTATGAAGTGCTATAAAATAGAGATTATGTTTATTATTAAAAATACAAGTGATGCTTATACAAATACTCTAAATGTCATTTGGAAATAAGTCTTAATATATTGAAATATAATAAAATAAAATTCATAAATATTTTCCAGATTAGTTTATAAAGCTTCCTTTTGAATTACATGTTAGAAATTGTGATCTGAAACAGCTCATCTATGTAAAAGAAAAAGATTCAAATAGAAGTTTTGATTAGAGAGGATGAGATGGTTATTAAAAATATCCAAAAAAGTTCCTAATTAATGTAGATAGATGTATCAAAAGCAGTTTAGAAGGCTAAGCATTTAGTTAAATGAAATAGTCTTTATCATGCAATCTTTGCTTAATCCCAGCACAGATAGTAGTTTTATAGGGCTGTCATAGAGCTGAATCCAAATTCAAGAAAAATGTCTGGTTTACATTGACTCAGTAGGTGATTAGGGAGCATTTCACACATAGCTGTGATTTCCATATTTTCTTTGTGTGCTAAAGAGTGTGAAAGAGTGGTGTTGCTTCTAGAGGGGGGGGGGGGGGGGGGGGGGGAGGGG